TATATTATCGCTATAATATTTAATCTGAATGTCGGGTTTGTAATTCGGAGATTTGCTTAACGTTAGATTGTTTATGTGCCAGACTATACCTTAATGACATATGTTTCATGCATGATTACGCACTAACAATGGGCTCTGCTTGCATGAAAGTTTACTGGTCTACTTGATATAGCGTCACAACAACTACACCACTATACTCACATGACCCGATCCATCAGCACTACGTAATCGTACCAAGGACGTTGGATATTGGTCTTCGATACGACAATAAATAACGATAATAAATTTATGATTCACAATTGTGAAGAAAAATTTTGTGCAACACTTCCATTAATCGCTTTATTGGCAATTACGTTATCAACTTCTCGTTTGGATTTACATTATCACTCCTAGAGTCATGCCTGGTAATACAGTATTTTATGTCCATTGATTGATTAATGAACTTTAAATCATCTTTATCTAACGAGAGTCTTCTAACTAAATATCATAGGTTAGGCGATACTAACAGTTTAACACCGAAAATATCGAAAATTAAATCAGAAATCAATCTTGTTTATTTACTTTGAACAACAACAAATATGGTAAAGGCAAAACAATATGTCTTTATTATCTAGAATGTACCGCTTACAAATCTTGGTAAAAACTTCTATTTCATTTTTCACTTAATTATACTTAGTAACTCATATTAATTCATATTCGGCATCATAACATCTATAATTTTAATTAGATCAATTCATTAATGGGGTATATACTATACAATATGTTACAGTAACTGGTAAATAGAAATATAGTGATTATAGACTTATTTGCCACTAAATGAATTGCATCCTGACCGTTACAAGTACAAAGTACGTCAAATTCTCTTAATATGTTGACAATTACCGCATGTCGGTATTATCGTCAACAACAAAATTTAATATTTTTCACCGCAGGATTATCTATAGAGAATGATGCACGGAATCATATATTATCTTGAATCGAGGATGAATCCATTGCGAGTTTTCTTCTAAATTAAGGTGCCGATTTGAATTTTTTGTATCACACGGGATCGTACGTATGTACGTATGTACAGGTCCTGCGCGGCATCACATGTTGTGCAGCTATCCTTATTTAGCTACTTAATCACATAATTCATTTTAGGATCCACTGGTGCCGAAATAAACACGTGAACACATTAGAAATATATTAACATATTTGACTTTTTACAAAAAAACAAAAATACATTCGATTATTATTTACATTGTGCACGTCTTTTTCTTTCTTCACAAAATTTTATGAGATTATCATCTTTTTCTGTGCACTTACGGCAATATTTTTCCTCCTTAAGCTTTCGTCTTGTACAAAAACATATATCATGATCGGTTTTATTTTTTTTAGTATTGTAGCGGTGGTATGAAGGTGTATTCACTCCCATCCATCTCCTGTCTGGTAATATTACCGAAAAAAAATCGAAAATTTCGATAATTTTTTTGGTGTAGTATTCAGGAAATATTCCAGTCGTATAGTAATAATGTATATGAGAGAAATCGCTAGGTTCGTAGTCAACATTTACTTCGTAATCACTCTCATTAAAATAATTTTCGTGCTCTACGAAATGAATAAATTCATGATCAATTAAAATAAAATTAATTCAACTGTATTGTTTTACACACATACCATATTTCCGATCATTAAAACTCAGCAAACAATAAAGAAACGTATTTGGATATTTATTAATATAATCTCTATGGAAGAAAAATTTCGAACCGCTAGCATTGATTGTTATAAAAAAAGGTGGTTGCATTTTTAATTTTATGTAGGATTCACTTTTTTGAATTTAAAAAAAAATTATGTGGATGCGAAAATATGGCTTTATATGTGTCTTCGATTCAATAGATCATAAAATATTGTGGGAGACTTGAAGAACAAGGAACTAGGTGATATGTTCGTGATAATCACATTACGTGAAATTATGAAATGACGTCATTTGTTTACTCGCATTAACAAATTGGCCTAAACTAACTATACCTAACCCTAACACTAACCCTAACGTCTTAGGCCGAATGATTATCAAGTGATGTGATTACCACGAATATATCCCATAGTTCCTTGATCTTCAATCTTCCCAATATTGTTAGTGTTACATAAATCGACAAGTAGTCCTTTCTAGGCACAGTTAAAATGATTGTTAAATGATCAATACAGTAATAAATATCAGTCAATACCAATACGCATATATGAATACTAAGATAAGGAATTTTGAGATTCGTTTGTTCACATACAAAAGCCCAGCACCAATTAAACCGGCAAAATCTTTTTCAATATTATAATTATCAGTACATATTACTATTTTCATCGCTGAGTAAAGATTAATACAAAGATTATTTTTAGTGAATAATTCATATTGCACATACAATTGTTTTGTTTGCCTCAACCAATCAATTCAGAAGTTTTAATTAAAGAAAAAGAAAGGTGCGATGTGCCATTTATATGATGCCTGAAAATTTTAGCGTACGTATGTGAATTGAATATATTGAGGTGTTTCAGAATTAATGAATCGGAGTCCGATTTCAGATAAAATAATTATTTCAAAAGAAGCGACGCACAAATTTTATTTTTTTTAAAGTATGTACGTATGTACGTACTTATTTACATAATCGTTTATCGATGAACGTTTAACAAAAAAAAAGCCAATTTTATCACCGTCTATGCCTATTTAATTTTCTGATTCGAAATTCTAAAAAAGAAAATAGGAACTTTTAAACTCCCATTTATTTGAAAAAAAGTTAATTCTGAAACTCCCAATTATTAAAAGAAAGAACCAATAGAATAGGTGATTGCGAATTGACAAAAAAAAAATTATTCATGCTAGAGTGATTTTATAATACGAACATTCTCACCTAACACTAATCAAGGATGGTAAATGACCTGGTCATTTGATCAAATTTTAAATGTCTCAAAGTCATTAAATAATGACCTATCATCTGGATCATTGAGGTCATTTGAGTCATTTCGCATAAAATAATTTTATTGGTTTAATAACTAAAAAAGTTATTGGGCTTCTAGCCGATAATCGTGCTCCATGCACAGTATAAGTTAAAGTTTTACTAAGCTAGTCGTTGTTTACAGTATGTCTTAAGTAGTTCGGAATACAAATTGCATATACTCTAAAAGTTTCAATTCATTTCCGCGTTTCACATTTAAATAAAAAAATTCTTAATCCTGTAACTAATTGTATTGATTAAAAAGTGGTAGAACACCAGTTAACATATGTTCTCAGTCATTTAGACATTCGAAACTACCAATGACTAGTCATTTTTCATTTGAGTCATCAGGCCATTTCAAGTCATTTACCCTGACGCTAATAATAAAGAGCTGTTAGAATAATTTTATAATCGAACTTTCTCACTCTAAAACTAATAATGAGAGCCGTTAGAATAATTTACAAAGAACTTTCTAATGTTACACCGATGATTGGCTAAAACTCACATATCGTGTATCGGATTTGTCGACCAAAAATTCATGCTTCAATCAAATTCGTATATATCATTGATAACTTACAATCTAGTAATTTAATCTTGATAATTTTGATAGTATTCGAATCCTCTCAGTGAGAAGATTCGAATGGTAACAAATTTAATTACTAGATTGTGAGTTATCAATGATATATACGAATTTGATTGAAGCATGAATTTGGTCGACAAATCCGATATTATGCAAGAAAAATTGGGAAATACAGTATATATATATTGATATGGGATGCTATAATGAAACTTGTAAAGTTTTAATTTTACGATTGTGATTGAATATAAACTATGTTGTATTATAATAATATTAAAAAAATAATGCAAATTACAGCGTAATATTAATGTTGGCTTTTTATTTTTTTTCACTTCAGATCTTTAAAAAATTGTTGATAACTATATAAATAACCAAAGAATACGAAGGACATATTATAAATTATTAAGATTTCTTAATTTACTTTAGATTAATACAATTATGATAGCTATATTAATCAGTTTCTGACGACATTATGCATTAAACCTTATTATTTTGCTGTTCTCGAAAATTTTAATAGTAAACAGTAAAAAATTTATATTATGCACAATTTATAATAGTATTCTCATAAGAACTCTGAGAACACTAAATTCGAACACTAAATTCGAACACTGTACTAAACACCTGCAACCGTTGTACTGTTCTCATGAGAATATATTCGGATCTGAAATTTCAACACATATCAGGGTATCTGTACTATTAATTAAATTTATAGTACTCCGATAGTGAAATGGTAAGGAAAATAGTAAACCAATATTGCTGTAGTTGTTCAACTAATTTTGATTATTATTCATAAAAAATCTTACATATATAAAAAAACCAATTTTTTGAACGTTATGTAAACCAATTTATTTTATTTGTATCGCATTTTTCCTAAAAAATCAGGTGATTTGTCACCTCCCTAATACTAAAATATTTTCCCTTGCATATTAATTATGCTACGTAACGCCCATTTTTCAGTTTCCTTATTTGGAAGATCTAAATAGAAAATGGGAATCTAACCTATCTTGGTGCATTAATAAAAAAATAATACGGTACGTACGTACGTACCGAGAAAGCACCTAATATGCTCAAATCCAAAACTAATTCTAACCTTAATTTGAATTATTTTTCTACGTATTTCTACTCATGCTAATTCTAAATAGGCTAACGCCAACTCTACCTAACTTTCGGGGAAATGATTGTCAGACATACAGAGCCAATCAGAAAATTTCATATTATATCATCGCATGATCCAATATCGCTGTTATCGTCAAGTCATATTTCTCAAAAACGTACTAAGTAAACACGATCGGGTACTCTAAGTAAAAACGTTCAGGACCCCCAAAAACCTCACGAAAACTGAGATTGGGACCTTATATTAGCTCTATATTATATTATATAAAAAAAAAAAAATTAATACCCGAACCCTAACCCTAAATTTTATTAATCACTAAAATAGTTAATCATTGCAATATTATATATTGTATTTAGCGGGGATAGTAAAAAAAGGGACCTGTATAGAGACTTTTCACTAGGGTGTATGGCATGGCAGTCATGGGCATGCCAAGGGTAGCATACCATAGGCATGCCTTAAAAGAAAATAGATATAAGGCATGCCACTTATATAAAATCATATATACGTATGTCTATTTCCGGAAATTTTCGGAATACGTAGTGGATAGTTGACGAACATAAAATACGGTTAAGGTGGCCGGAAAATTTCGGGATTTGTGAATCGTCTGGGGTTTTGGACAGGTTGATATGATGGCGTGCCATTGGCATGCCAGGGTGGCATCCTGGCATGAAATTTGTCAGGTGGCATGCCTTATGGCATGCCAAATTTTTTTGCCGTGCCACACACCCTACTTTTCACCCACCCGGTATATGGTCCATAGGTGCGTTTTATAATAATTGTTAATAAATTCATGCCTAAACGTATTTGTAATTTTAGTTATTGCATATGTACGTACATACTTACAGTACAGGACTCATTACTGCATTAAAATATGCTTACAAAATCATGCGCATGATTCTCAAAATTCGTGCGCATGCCATTACTACTTCTAATAATAGACAGGTTTGAATGAGTTAGCCCCAAAGTGCCAGATCAATTAGTGTAATGTATTGTAAATCACTTTTTTTTAGATACGTACGTACCAGGTACGGTGCAGGAAACTTAAAAACTTCAATATTTCTATGTAGAGATTATGCATAAACTAGTAGTTTTCCTAAATCATCGATCTCAATAAGCGAAGGTCTCAATCTCTTTGCATAAAAACCATAAACAAAGAACA